TTCCCCCCTCCTCTCTTTCCCTTTCTAATGCCCTCTGTGTTCCCACCATGACCAAGAACCTTCTCTCTGTTTCTCAACTTTGTCAAAATAATGATGTTTATGTTGTTTTTAATTCATCCTGTTTTCAGGTGAAGGATCATCACACGGGGGCCATAATCTTCCAAGGACCACATAAGGATGGTGTTTACATTTGGCCGGTCATGGTAGGTTCATCTGTTTCACCACATGCTTTTTCCTCTCTTGTTGTTCCCATGTCCCTGTGGCACTCTCGTCTTGGTCATCCGTCAAATAAAATAGTTCATCATTTAGTGTCTTCTAATGCTTTTCGTTTGTCTTCTACTGGTCTATCAAATTTTTCTTGTAATTCTTGCAAAATTAATAAAAGTCATAAGCTCCCATTTTCTGAATCTACACTTTCGTCTTCTTCACCCCTTGAATTAATTTACTCTGATGTTTGGACTTCTCCTGTACTTTCTCTTGATGGTTTCAAGTATTATGTTGTTTTTGTCGACCACTTCACAAAATACATTTTGTTGTATCCTCTTAGGTGAAAGTCTGATGTTTTTGATATTTTCACGAAGTTTAAATCTCTTGTGGAGAATTATTTTCACACAAAAATTATCACTCTTTATACAGAGAATTTATTGCACTTAAATCTTTTCTTGCTACTCATGGAATAACCCATTTAACCACACCACCACATACTCCTGAACACAATGGTTTCTCCGAACGTCGTCACCGCCACATTGTTGAAACTGGTCTGACATTACTTCATCATGCGTCTGTACCTCTCACGTTTTGGCCCTTTGCTTTTGCAACTGCTATATATCTCATTAATCGCATGCCTAAATTTAATCTCTCTATGTTGTCTTCCTTCAAAAAATTGTTTGGTTGTCCTCCTAACCTTCAAAAGCTTTGTGTCTTTGGCTGCTTATGTTATCCTTGGCATTGTCCGTACATTTCCCACAAACTTGAACCTAAGTCTCGTCCTTGTGTCTTCCTCGGCTATTCTCTAACTCATAGTGCTTATTTTTGTTATGACTCCTCCTCTACAAAACTCTTTGTCTCGTGTCATGTTGAGTTTGTTGAGGATGTCTTTCCCTTTTCTACTCCCGTGTCATCTGATTCTATAGCAAGCTCCTCCCAGCCACTTCCTACTTCTCCTTTGGTTTTTCATGTACCCTCTGTTATTTGTGGTGATGCTGCAACTTCGTCTTTCTTGCCAAATGATGTGCATATGTCCTCAGGTCCACTTGCTGCCCCTAGTGATAATCCTTCACCGCCACCCACCGTCCCTGCTACCTCTTTTGCCGAGCAAGTCACCAACCCGAGTCCCACACTTCTGCTTCATACCCCATCCAACTCTACACCAAATGATCACCCTATGGTTACCCGCTCTAAAAATAACATACATAAATCCAACCCCAAATATTGTCTTCTCTCCACCCCATCACCAATTGAGATTGAGCCGACTAGTGTTACCCAAGCTCTCAAGGATTCTCGTTGGCGCACTGCAATGTCTGATGAGTTTAATGCTCTAATTCGTAATGGTACATGGGATCTTGTCCCTTTTAGTAATTCTGAAAATCTTGTGGGTTGTAAATGGGTGTTTCGTATCAAGCACAAGTCCAATGGTTCGGTGGATAAATTCAAAGCTCGTCTTGTTGCCAAGGGTTTCCATCAACGTCTTGGTATTGATTATTATGACACATTCAGTCCAGTCGTTAAACCTATCACTGTTCGTCTTGTTCTGAGTTTGGCACTGTCTTGAGGTTGGTCTCTTCGTCAACTTGATGTGAACAATGCCTTTCTCCATAGCCATCTTAATGAGGAAGTCTATATGGCCCAACCGCCCGGCTTCATTGACAACAATTTTCCCTCTTATGTTTGTAAACTCCGGAAAGCTATTTATGGTCTTAAACAAGCTCCGCGGGCATGGTATCAAGAACTTAGACATTTTCTGCTTGACATTGGTTTTGTCAATGCTCAGTCTGATACATCGCTCTTTGTTTATCACTGAGATAGGTTCACTGCTTACTTTTTGGTATATGTGGATGATTTGATTTTGACTGGCAGTGATAATACTTTTGTTGCTCGTCTTATTGATCAACTCGCCAAGCGGTTTTCTATTAAGGATTTGGGAACCTTATCTTATTTTCTTGGCATAGAAGTGCTTCCTCGGCAAGATTCTCTTTTTCTCTCCCAACGGAAGTACATTGTTGATCTTCTTGCTCGTCATAACATGCTTACTTCCAAACCTACCACAACTCCTCTTGTTGTCGGTACTTCTCTCTCTTTTCATGATGGTTCATCCCCAGCTAACTCGACCATGTATCATCAGGTTGTTGGCAGTCTACAGTATCTTCTCATGACCCGGCCAGATATTACTTTCGCTGTCAACAAATTATCTCAGTTCATGCATGCCCCGTCTGAGCAACATTGGGGCGCCGTTAAGTGTTTATTATGCTATCTCAATGGTACTCGTGATTATGGTATTCGTCTTCGGTCTAGTTCTTCATTATCTCTGCATAGCTTCTTGGATGCTGACTGGGCTGGGGACTCTACTGATCGTACATCCACGGGGGCCTATGTTTTGTTCCTTGGACCTAATCCCATCTCATGGAGCTCGAAAAAGCAAAGGTCTGTGGCTCGCTCCTCAACAGAAGCTGAATATCGTGCTTTTGCTTCTGCTGCTGGTGAAGTTCAATGGGGTTAAGTCTCTTCTGGCTGAGCTTCATGTTTCTCTGCCATTGCCTCCGGTCATTTATAGTGATAACATTGGTGCTACGTATTTGTGTGCCAATCCAGTTTTTCACTCGCGGATGAAACACATCTCCATTGACTATCATTTTGTTCGTGATCTTGTTCAACGCTCTCAACTTCGAGTCTCTCACGTTTTCTCTGCTGATCAACTTGCAGATGCTCTTACGAAGCCATTGTCCTCTCCACGCTTGCATGGTTTACTTATCAAGATTGGTGTCACTGTTGGATCACCATCTTGAGGGGGCCTAATAGGATATCTCTCGATTTAGTGTGATTTGATTTTATTACCGTTATTGTTGTAATCTTCTAAATTAGGATAGCTACTTATTTTTAAATATTTGTTTCCTTAAGTTTAGGATACTCTGTTAATATTACAGCTTGTATAAATCCTCTTGTTTGTGAATAATATGTCAACAACCATTTTATACAAACTCTCTTAATCATCATATCAGTAAAATATTTTTGGTAATTATAAAATATACAACTACGGCTTTTGATAGTTATTATAATTACTAGAATAGTTCAACGTAATAGTGATAAAAATTAATCTAGTACTATCTTTAAAATACTTTTATTTTTAATTTTAAAAAGATTTAACCCTCAGTTTTTCTTTGCAAAATAGAATTAAACCTTAGTTAAAGAAATTAGTAGGTCAAAATCTTCTTTTTTTTTTTTTGAAAAGGAGCAGGTCACAATTTAAGCATAACAATTCTAAAAACACATACACAAGAAAATAAAAATTAGAAATAAAAAATAAAAGAGAGAGGTTTTCTGGTCTCCAAAATGCACAAAAAGAAAAAAAGAAAAGAAAAAGGCGTCAGTATTATTGAAAATAGAAAATTGAGAGGATGAATGGAAATCTACAAGTTATCTGCTTTCTGTTGTAATGTAAAGTCAAATAAATTTCTCTTATTTCTCTTTTCTTTCACTCATTGATTTCTTTCCTTTTACATTTTCCGTTCCCTCCTTCCCCATACCCGCTATCACATTTTCATCAATCTCTCCTTTTCTTTTCTTTTCTGTTCTTTTTTTTTTCCCCCTTCCTTTTCCTCTCTCGTTCGGCCTCTGTTCTAGCTATTTTGGCTTCTGTGCATTTGGGCTTTTTCGGCCCACTTTTCGTCTCGAATCAAAATCCCACTCGCATTTCTAAAGTGGTCTTCTGGGTTGTCGAGATCGAACTTTCTAAAGAATGAGATGTTGATGAATTTCACGCTTGGTGAGTCCGATTCCAATGGATTTTCTCGCTTTCTATTGCTGAATTGTGATATTGGTTGATTCGCCTATTCGATCTCTTTGAATCCATTACGGTTTATGACATATTGTTTTTGTTGATCTGTATGTAACTGGTAATGGGTATTGTTTTGTTTTGAGAATTTGGGAACTTTTTTTTTCGCTGCAAGTAGTTTTTTGGATTCTTATTGATGGTTGGAAAAATGGGTTTGAGAGAGTTTTAGCTATGGTGGAGAATATAAATTTTTCTGTTGCTGTTTGATTTTGAGAGAAATGAAGAGGCCAAAAAGCGAACCTCCGGTTTCGAGGAGGTTCAAATTGCCTCATCTTTTGTTGGGATTAGCTGCATTGTACTTGGTTTTTATATCATTTAAGTTTCCGGAGTTTCTAGAGAATGCGACGGTGTTGAGTGGTGATGATAGTTATATCGAATTGGATGGGACAAAGGTAGGGGAATCAGAGGATTCTGACTTGAACAAGCCGTTTTTTGGTCGGGTTTATAAGGACGCGTTTCACCGGAAATTGGAAGATAACCAAAACCAAGATGCCCCAGTTAGGCCTAGTAAGGAGCCATTGGAAGAGGGGAGAAATGGGTCCTCACCTTTGAAGCCGCTCCAACACCGATATGGTCGAATAACTAGTGAGATTATGAGGCGAAGGAACAGGACGAGTGATTTGTCTGTGCTCGAGAGAATGGCGGATGAGGCTTGGACATTAGGCCTAAAGGCTTGGGAAGAGTTGGACAAACTTGATGGGAAGGCGACCATGGAGAGTTCTATTGTTGAGGGAAAGCCGGAGTCTTGTCCTTCGTGGTTATCGATTAGTGGGGATGAATTGGCAATGGGAGACAAAGTTATGTTCCTTCCTTGTGGGCTTGCGGCGGGTTCTTCGATTACGGTTGTGGGAACACCCCATAATGCTCACCAGGAGTTCGTTCCCCAGCTTGCCAAGTTGAGGCGTGGCGATGCACTAGTTATGGTTACGCAGTTCATGATCGAGCTGCAAGGGTTGAAGGCAGTGGATGGAGAGGACCCACCAAAGATTTTGCACTTGAATCCACGACTCAAAGGAGATTGGAGCAAGCGAACTGTCATAGAGCACAACACCTGTTATAGGATGCAATGGGGATCAGCTCAAAGATGTGATGGTTTGCCATCAAAAAGCGATGACGACATGCTTGGTATGTTATGTCACTTTACTTCTGTAGGAAAGAAATCAAATTATTGATGTTATATATGTTTACAGTTTCTTAAAAGTATAACTTTTGGTCATTGATATTAGAAAATTAATATCTTCTCCTGTTTTGGCATATCTACCGTCTTATTGATTGTTTATTACTGCTCGTAGTATTAGATACTCAACTCTTTGTACTATTGTTACAAAATTAGTATATTCTCTTGTCCTGGTCATCAACATAGTTATTGTTTGTACTTATTGATTGTTTATTACCTCGTGTAAGATAATTTTTTTTTCGTATAATGATTCAAGATAATTTTTTTTCTTATACTGATTCAAGATAATTTTTTTT